GAAGTTCAACAAATATCATAAATAGATGATAACAAGACTTCATGTTTTTTATAAAAGTTTTTAGAATTATGCTACTTGTACATCACCCCTTACATAAGGGGTGACATAATGCACAAGTGGCACCTCCTTATTAGAGGGGTGCCGAGGCCCCACATGCGGGCCGAGACTCCCCTCCAATGAAGATGCTTCACTTGTGCATTATGTCACCCCTTGTGTAAGGGGTGATGTACCGATAGCAAAATCGAAGTTTTTATGGTATAGTTACTTTATCTATTAGCTTAAATAAGATAGTGATAAATTTAGCCCACATTTTACCGACCATTATTATATAACTCTTTAATTTTTACACTCATTTTCAATCACAAAGTTATTAATAAAATATTTTGCACGTAAACTCAAAATTTTTCTTTACTTTTTAACCACACAATTTTCAAACAATCACTATTCAAAACTCAATTTTCTCAAAATAATGGTCATCAAACATGACTTATTTGTTTGAATTATGTTCAAAGCCAAATATATTTTTCGTAGAGGACCTAGACCTGAATTTAAAATACAATTTTCATTAATAAGGTATCAAGTTTCTTAATACAAAAATCAGGTTTTAATTAATGATTAAATTTTATGTTTTTTATTTTATATCTAATCAAACCCTAAACTAATTCATTTGAAAAAAACCAACACCGTCTCACCTTATCTTCACCCCTCTCGCCATCTCTTTACTTTCTCCAGACGGCGATACAACAGCCTCCGCCGCCCGCCGCCTCCATTGCCACCGTTCGGATGTCTCACACTGTCAATAGAACGCAGTGGTGAGTTTTTTGTTGGTTGTTGGCTAGGTTTTCCATTTCCCCCAAACCCCTTCTCTCTCTCGTTGCTCTCCCCTCTGTCGTCTGTTTCCCTTTCTCTTTCCCGTCCGTCTTCTCCTCTTCGTCCGGCGCGCCATAGCCCACACGCTCGTGGATTTGGTGGATCTGTCGTGGATTTTCATCTTATTGGTAAAATCTGTTGCGGTGCTGTGTATTTGCGGTGTGGGTGGAGGTACGGTTGCTGCGTGCGGCGATGTGCGGTTGCCTGCATGCGGCAGATTTGTGAGTGTGCGGCGATCTCTGTCTGTGTGTGGGGGGGGCTGTGGTGGGTTGATCTGTCTGTATGTGTCATGGCAGGTTGCGAACATCGACGGTTTGAGTTCAGTTTTCTGTGGCTGGTTAGTTGGGTGTGTGCGCGTGGGCGCTGTGGCGGTTGCGATTGGGCGTGTGTGTGGGCGCAGTGGTGGTGGAGGTGTGGAGTGCGGTTACGGTGCGTAACGGTGGTGGATCTGGCGGCGGTTTTGTTGTTGGTAGTGGCGTCAGTGGTCCATTTGGTGTTGTTTGGTTACTGGGGCGGCAAAAGTGGTGGAGCCGCTGATGGGGGAAGTGGCGAAGTCGTGGTCACAAATGATTTGGGGGTGGTTACAAAAGATTAGGTTTTTTGTGACCAATAATTTGGTTAGTTTGTCACCAATGAAATAGATAAACTGTGACCAATA